GAAAAACATCCATCCCCAAATTCTCAGAGAAAGCAGCTGAAGATAAAAGGAAACATTAAGCAGATAAATTTACGGTCTTCTAAAAAGAGGTATCAACAGCCTGGGAAAAGGCTACTAAACAGACATGTAACAGGGGATGTAAGGATTACACATGAAATTACTGGTTTGTTAACTTGATTGAACAGTGAGGAACATGAGAGAAAGGCTAATCAAAGACATGATAGAAGAACACCTAGAAAGTTTGGATTTAACGAAGGATAGAGGACAAAGATTCACAAAGGGAGGATCATGCTTAAAATTTTCAATAGGGTATTTTGAGAGAGTAGCCACAAGTGCTGACAGAGAAGCCTGTAAACATGATTTACCAGGATTTTAGCAAAGCTTTTGAAATGCTATAGCACAAAAGACTAATCTGTTAGGTAAGTGTGGCATAGGGAGAGATACTTTGTTTGATTAGAAAAGAAAACAAACATTAACTTGGGTCTGGAAAGCATAGGAGTTTTGTGAATTAAAGCAGGTTACGTTGGACGTGTGAATAATGAAAAGCCTTAAGAATCACCGTTTACACCAATTTTGTTGAATTTATGCAGCATATCAGTACTCTGGAAGAAAGAATAAGTGGTAAGGTGATGAAATTCCCTGCTAGTACAAAACTGGGGAAATGTCAGAACAAAATAGGCATGATAAAATTCTGAATGACTTTGACAAGGAGGTGGAGCATGGGCAGATACATAGCATATGCAGTTCATTTTCAAGTAATATAATGAGGCTAGGGAATAGAAAAAGAAGAATGTATTGATACCTGAGACAGTCACAGGGCACAGAAGGCTACACAGAAGGATCTGCATACTTCTGAAGCTCTTCTGAATAGAACTGAATCCTCTAGTAGGGTGGTTATTAGTTATTTTGCTTGTGTATAAAAACAAAATTGTGGACACAGAACTGAAGTACATATTGAAAGATCATATTCTTGGGCCATTTATAAAAGCAGCAAAGCTGCATTTGATATGACATGGACACTTTGGGCACCTTTATAGAACAGAAATTCTCAAAACCTTGAAGTGACAGGTGAGGATCAGGACGATAATTAAAGGTCTAGGTAATATTAATTATTCAAAAGGTTAGAAAGATACATGCATATGCTCTGCATGGATTGAGGGCCCAATCCAAAGCTCATTAACTGAGCTTCCCTTCACAGAGAAGCTTCGCGTGCTGGAAGGCATTAAATTGGTTTTGTGAACAGGAATACAATACACAACCAGATTGCCCAGTGCTCTTCTGAGACACCTAGTCCAAGCGGTTACTCTTGTACGACAACTTTGAATGGCCCCAGGAATGAATGGGGCCTCAGATTTACACTCAAATTGGGACTTATGGAGGGGGTTTAGTGAAGGATTGTGGGCCTATTTATTGAAGAATTTTAGTGAAACATGAGGCCACAGTAATGAAAAAATTAAAAGGAAAAAGTTAAACCATCTTCTTAATCCCATCTGATAGTGTCTCACTCTCCTCTGGAACAAATCTTTGGAAGTTTTGCAATAAGGCACAGTTTAGAGCGCAGTACAGCTTCTCCAGCTACTATTACTGGTCCTGCCTGAGTCCATATGGAAATGCACTCACTGGAAAGGGTCTTCTGTGACCCACTCTTGCTAATTTGAATTTATCCTATAACCAGAAATATGTATCGGCTTGTTTTTGTGTTTGGAGGGGAGAATGAGGATGTTGGAATGTTTCTGTCTCACAGGAGTCTGACACATGTCCTCTGGCAAATGCAGTGGTGGCAGATTAAACTGTAAGTGTCCTCAGCTGTCTACCCTTCATCACTGTGACCCTGGGCTGTGAGCTGGAGCAGCAAGGCCTGGTGCCCACTCGCTCCTTCTAAGTCCTCCAAGGGCATGGGTGACTGGCACAAGTACTGCAAGGCTTCTTCCCCAGCTATCCAGGCAAGGGACATGGAACTGCAATACTCCTGGGCTCATTTCTTTCTTTTCTTCCAAAGTTTCCCCTTTGAGGGAACACAACATGAGGAAGGGCTGAGTCTTCCTCTGGATCTTACCCCATTAGGGAATTGGGACCAGGCATGAAGCACATCAGGACCCATGAGCTCCTGTGAGCAGTTATGAGTCCCATCATTCAGACAAAGCTTGTGAGACTGAGATGTAACTTGCAGTGAAAAAGGACTTCCTTAGAATGTGAAACATATGGAAATAAGTAGTGGGTTTTGTTCAACATGATGTGAAAATGACTGGGTTTGATCACTTTGAAAATCTAAGAGTAATTGGAATTTACCGAGTTTGCTTTTAAAATAAAAACGTAACCATGCACAAATTTAGACACCTTGAGATAATAAAAGTTGATGTCAACATTTTAGAATATATTTGGAAACAAAAAAGACCCAGTGCTTGATCAAGCAGCAGTCACAAAAACATTCTTCCCTTCATGATAAAAAGAAAACCTCTGTGTGATTCCACAAATATGTCAGATCATTCTGAAGAGGCTAGTAAGTGCTAGTAAATTACTATTTTTTGTTGTTGTCAAATGACTTTATTTTTTGGCATTAGACTTCAAAAAACCCCCAGCCTTTGGATGTGTTGTCATTATGTTCATCAGTCATAATTTTGCCAACAATTGTTGACATGCACTCTGCGTTGCTGTGCTAACAAGAGAAAAGACCAACCATTAAGTTTATGTTTCTTTGTTTTTGAACAAAGTCACATAACAGGAATAATGCTAGGAGTATGCTAATAAACAATATATAGTGCCAGTCATCAGGGAGTAAGAAATATTTTCTAACTAGTTCTAAAGGGAAACAATGTTTTTAAAAAAGGGAGAGTGATTGTTATTTATGCAATTTTGTTGTTCTATATGTCAGCATCAAAAAGCATCGTGTAAAGAGCTTAGCATAATAAATCCTTGATCATGACTGTCATTATTTAGAGGTCTTTGATAGATCTAGATGTAGTGCAGTAAGGTTAAATTTACCAGCATATAATGGGAAATCCTTTGACTGAATCTGAATTCTAGCAATGTTACCAGTATTGTCACAACAGCAAAAAAGAGAAAAAATGTTGCACCTTTTAAAACAGCAGGCTTTGCAAATCATAACTGTAAAACTAAGTCAAAGCAGATTTGTTTTCTGGTTGCCCATTGATTTTGTTTGTCTACATAATAATTTAACTTGGTTACATTTCAGAAAGCTAAAGTTGATTTAAATGAAAACTGGCAAAAAAGTCTTCTTATTGTTTCCACCAAGAAGCGATGCAACACATTTTTGTTACTGTCATCAAGAAAATTAAAATAGCCTCTGTGTATGAGAAGCAATGGGAGATTTGTAAAGAGGAGCCCACAGGAACATTTAGTTTCAGAATTTACTTTGATTAGTCACAAACTTTTCAGTTAACTTGGGGAGATAAAATAACTTATGTTTAAAAAGTCTTTATATTCCTGCCTACAAGCTTGAAGTAGAAAGACACTTAATGGATGGGCACTTCATCTGTCTGGGACAGGGCATCTAAATTTAGATGCTGATAACAAATCCAGCAAGTCTTTAGTAATGTTTAGAGTCAGGGGAAAAAGAAACTTTTTTTTTTTTTAAAATATAATCAATAATACCAGCTGCATAACACTCTTCAGAAGTTAAATTTGTAGAAGACAGGCTGTATTTTTGACACACATTATCCAGTGAACCCTACTTCTTCCCCAACTAGTATATACGAAATCTGCAGTTTACTACATCTGTGCCAGCTTTTTGTGACTTTACATTCTTTAAAAAATATGTGTTTTTCTTCATTTTTTTTTCTTTTTGCTGATGTAGGCAAGGTGCCTGTGGCTGTTCAGAAAGATACGTGTCTCTTGAGTTACTGCCTTGATGTGGCAGTTCAGGGCTTACCTTGCCTTCGTTGCATCTTCAAAACAACAGTGTAGCTTTCCGGCACTGTTACCTTAGGACTTGAGTCCTTGATACTACAATTATGCAGCTGAATAATTTTATGAATCTGACTTGTCTCATTAGATGCCTGGATAACTGCAGATTTTAAGTTTAATGATGAAAACACAAAATCTTACTTTTGAATATACTCTTTAGTTTTCACTTTTAAAGTAATGCTTTCCTATATCAAATCTCTGGCCAATTCAGGTCAAGAAGAAGAATAAGAGAAAATACAGTCACATTTTCAGGATGCTGAAATGCCTTGGACAAGTGATGTACCCTGTAGAAAAGCAAAATAGCAGATCTGTTTTGAAAGACACCAAGACACAAATGAAAAACTTCTCTTCTGCACCAAAGAGAGCAGAGTAATGCATTTCCTGGTTTATAATGAAATTTGATCTGTACACATCATGGTCTTTAAGTTAAGTCAGACCTAATGTAATATGGCCAGGAGGATTGTTCTCTGGCTAGTTTCCAGCCAGCCTTCCCAGTTTTGGTACAGGCTTGACAATAGATACTGAAGTAACTGCTCCGGTACAGTAGCCATTTGTCCAGACTAGCAGGGAGTTTTCCCTACTTGAAAGATGGCAACCTGATGGACCATTTAAAGTGTATGGTGCAGAGGAGATTCTGCAGCCCAGCTGAGAATGAAGAAGAAGCAGATTTCTGATTTCCGTGGTCTGTTCCTGGCTTCCCCCAGTTCTATAGTGGGCCTAATCCATCGGTGTAAACTGAAGGTTTCGTATTGATGTTAGTATTGTTCGAATCACATCCCACACATCCTCATTGCATTTTGCCTTCCATGAATGTAAAGCTGGTGTTTTAGCAATACTGGTCTGTCCATGGAGTTAGAAAGCTGAAAAAGTACAATCTCTACAGAGTTTCAGGAAACTCAGGTGAAAGCTTCTAGAGAACCACAGAGCATGATATTTTTTTAATATGAATAATTAAGCCTTAATGAAAACACTGCTGGAGAGCTTTAAATGACCACTTTGAACTCAGTATTTTGAGTTATAATGAAATGGTTCCAACTGTATGTTTCAGTAAATTTTATCTACCCTTGTTTCTTTAGAAGAAGACCTACCAGTGCATCAAATGTCAGATGGTTTTCTACAATGAATGGGATATCCAAGTTCATGTTGCAAACCACATGATTGGTAAGTGAAGCACTAAAACTTCTCGAAGGCAGATAGCCATTTCTCTTACTCATAATCATCATTGCCTCTAAAATTAAACAGAGTTAAGGAGAAATTAATTGTGCATCCATCAATGATTAACCTAGGCATGATAGACTTTTTTATTCATATTATTAGACTTGATAAAGCATTAACATACTTTATTTTCTGCAAGGGCTAGTTTAGACTTCTGCAGAGAATTATATATCCACTGCCAGTCAAAACACAGGTGATTAGCAAATTAAACTTCTAATCATTTTTGCATTATTGAAAACAAACTAACAGGAATGGTAATAAACTGGATGTTAGCTTTCCGTAGAGTTTTAGACAGGTTTTAATTTCAGAAGTTATTATGGTAATGACACTACTGTGTACTTCTCAAGCACCTTGGTACCAAAATCAAAACTGGCAAATTTTTGTCATTAGGAAACATAAATAATTCAAATGGCCATAAAATAGTATTGTTTGTCGTGTTTGAGCAGTGTGGAAAAAAATCCTGATTGTATCTGTATACAATTACATGCTATAATTTATTTGAAAAAAAATCAGGAATTGTAGTATTCAGTAATGGAATCTGCTCTTTTAGGTACAAGAATTTAAAAAAGTCTTTTAGGATTCCCGACTCTAAGCCTGGCTTGATGTTTACAAAGCTGTTACAGCTGTAAATTGGAATAAAACAAAACCTGCTTTTTCTTTGATATTCATATTTTCCTATTATTTGTTTATTCCCCTAGGTTTATCCATAATGTTTTCAATTTGGTAACCACTCAGTAATAGCACTAAGATTTCTATCAGCCAATTAAATTTATCAAGCACATCATTTGCCCGCTAATAAGATAACATTGCCAGGGTTGTCTCATTTTTTTCAGCCTCTTTTCCAAATTTCACTTTTCAAGACAAAGATGGATACCATTGATTTTATATTCCTGCCTCCCTTACACTGTTTTTCTTGCTATAATAATAGAAAAGCATGCAAAGCACAGACCAAACAGTATAGTATAGAAGCCATAGTCAAAAATATAACAGAAGAGAATTTTCTGTTTGTTTGTTTGGGTTTTTTTTTTCATTTTTTAACTTAAAAATATTTTGGTGTTCCTTGTTTTTTTCTTTCAAGGTAACATGCAGATTTCTTCAATGAACATTAATAATTTGGCTGCACTGTAAAATAAAGTTACCTGCCAAAGCTTAATAGCCCATTTGTCTGGGTACTTTATTAACAGGTTTTAATACATTTAGAGCATGAACATTTCATATACTTGTCATAGAATTGAATAAATGTGAATGACAAGCTGGTTTTGTAAAGGAGCAAAGTGATTTGCCTGTTGGATTAAGCTTTAGTTTTGATATTTTATGTCTTTGGGGAGGAGATAATTTGAACTGCTTCACAGTATTCAATCTGGGTCAGTAACGTGGAATTTAAAAGTAGGTTATTACCAACAACAGAACTCACAATTTCTGCTGTTTTCTTTGAATCTGGTGTTCAACATGTTCTTAAGTGCAACATACAGTGACACCGAAATGTGAGAGGGAACATGGACAGTGGGGGTAACGAATGATGCTGGAATGGCAGAGTGGTGTGTGTGCTTGCCACACACTTCCCAGTGCCTCACATTTTCAGAACAGGAACCCACTTCTTTCACAAAATACTCAGATTTTCTGTCTTTTATTTTCTTTCTCTATTTTCTGGGTGAGTTTTACTAGAGGGTTAGAATGGGAGGAAAGAAAAGAGGAGAGAGTCAGTAAAGCAGGACAAATCCAGTTAGCTGGCTTCAGCCTGCAGATCTGCAGAGATGGAGATTTTCTTAAACTGAGCTATTAACTGCCTGTGTTTTATTTCTAAAAGCTGGATGAGGTTGAATGAGAAAGAGAATAATTTTTAAAATATTTAATTGTTTTGTCTGTGTTGTATCTAATCATGCATGATATTGCTTCATGACATAACCATAGTGACACAGATTTAAATGTGCTTAATATAAAATCTTCCCAGTGAAATAAAGAAAGAGCTTGCAAAACATACAGGGAGATTTGCCGGTCATGCTTGCGGTAATCTGTGTTCAGTGGAAGATTCTTATCTGCACTGCCAGACTTAACAGTGCAGCTCCTAATGATGTAGCCTCGATTAAGCAAATGCAAGGGGATTTTGTGTTGGGGTGGAGTGAAAGGAATATCAGCGTTCCGGAGAGTTTTGAATGTGACCTCGCAATCGAAGCACAGGAAAAAATAATTTCTGATCTCCAATTCTGTTAGCCTTCTCATCACTAATTGGATTTTTCCTTAGCTATCTTTCCAATTTCACTCTCCCCCCTCCCCTTTAATTTATATCATTGTTCACAGGCCTTTTTCCAAGACCGTGTTCTGTCTAGAGAGAAAGGTTCAAGGGGTGACATTAAGCTATTTAAAATTGGCCTTAGTTTATGTGCATCTGTAGGTAGGCTTATAGTATTCATATATAATACAGAAAACAGGCAAGCCCATTTGTGTAAATATATATAATACATTACCCATATATATACAGCCATAGATATCTGAATGCATATCAATATTCAAATTGAAAAATATTTTAGGTGAAACACTTAAGTGAATATCGACTTGCTGATTGACAGCACATTTACCAAAAAAGAAAAAATGGTTTCCTAAACACAGTGGTCCCCCTCTTTTCTACATGCATCTGATAAAATATGTCTTCTTGCCCTGCTTTCCTAGTAGGAGATGGGCAGAACAAAGTATCTTTTCTCCTCTGCAGAAGAGAAAGTGAGAAAGCTCTGGGAAAAGAGAGAGAAAAAAAGGACTTTAAATGTGAAGGAAAGGAAAGGTAATCTGGGAAGGCAGGAGTTAAAAAAGTCAAACAATGTGATAATCCCTAGATCAAATATAGGGGCAATAAATGCCTTTACAGACATCATCACACAGTGTCAGGAACTGTTATTTCCTCTCACAGTAAAATGTTAGCATTATCCGTGTTGCGGTTATTGATGGATGTGGTGTCTTCTTACTCGAAGACTCTATGCCATAATCATAATTCAGTGAAAGGAGAAAAGGAGAGTCAATTGAACCATGGGGCAAACAAGAACGTGGACAGTCATCTGCCAGACTCCACTCAGAAATGGATGGGAACTACTGATAGAGATGCATGCTCAGCCAGATGAGGGAAACAGTTCCTACTCACCAACTTTTTGACCATTTGGGAGCCTAGAAAAGTTGATGGTGTCCCATCTAATTACAGTGCCCTTTGAACATGATCCTGGGATGTAAACTGAGTTCATGTTGCTAACATCCACAGAGAGAAGTTGCATTATGGAAGGTCACTGAGGCAAAGATATGTTTATAAAACCCCAGTGTGAAACTTAGACTTTTAAATAAGACAACTGGAATTACTTTGTTGGCTAAAATAGCTCCACTGAGGGTAGATATTTTTAGGTTGTGTGTATGTGTGTGTTTTCGTCTAATCAAATATAATCTCAACTAGACATTTAGCAGGGGAAGAAGGATTAGAGGCTATTTGAAAAGCCTCTTACTCTTCTTTGTTAGGAGGGTATATGTTTTTACAGATTTTGTTACACATTTCAATCAATTCAACAAGAGGGATTATGCCACCTAATGGAAAATAAAATCTTCAGATGACCCAGTGAAGTGTAACCTGAAGCATCTTTGACAACAATATAATTTACATTAATTATTACACAAGTTATATATTAGAAAAAGTCATAGGGGTAACTTTCCTCAGTAACTACATGTTCATTACTTCTAGAACTTCTCATTTTAAAACTGTTCTGCAGCCTTCAATTGAGTCTTCCCAGTATCTTTGTGAAGGGACAGAGCAGTAAGCCTTTTCCATTGAACAGGTGAGGACAAAGAGGCAAAGAAGTGGAATTCCTGGCTTGCGTTGAGTGAGTGAAAGTTCAAGAGTTCTGACTCCCATATCTGTCTACACATTTCTAACCACCATGCTTGCCTAGCAATACCTGTATTTGCTTAAACTACCCACTGATTCAAGCTTAGGCGAGGGGATGCCAGCGGACAGAAAGCAAGTCAAACCATGGGGTTTTTTAAATAGGCCCTCTGTACAGGCATTATTTTAGACCTAGATGTAAGCATGTACTTTTGTTTGGAAAGCATTTTTGTTGGGGCAGGGGTGTGTGTATTGAAATTTGTTGGTAAAACAGTTTCTCAGCTTTTGAGAAGGAATGGAGGAAATGTAAATCTAGGTATGTTTCACGTGTTTAGGAAATGCTGGCATAAAGGGTAATTCTTCAGCCACCTTCTTTCTTTTATCTTCCCCCCACAGGTGGAATACATAGCATTTTTAGCAGCTTTCTTTGAGAAAATTCTATTTCTGGGTGCATGGTGTCTGTGAAAAAGGGAGGCTTTCTGGCATCTCTTTGTTTTCATCAAATAGTTTACAGTTGGCATTTGACCTGAGAGGGTAAGGAAGAGAGTCTGCCATTGTTTGTGTTCTGTTTGCTGCACTCCACTGCTCCTCCTATTATTTTCCTTGTTATTTTAAGCAGACAAGCTAAACATTGTTTTTTCTTCCACTGATTCATTTACATCTGTAGTATCTGATGCAGTTCAGTGTAAATAGACTAAACAGTTGCTGTAACAGTTGCCTAGGATTTTGCACATATGTACATAGAGAGTGGCTCAAAACTGGGGCAGTATAGACATGTTTAACTCAGAAAAGGAATTACTCCATATAAAATTATGAGGCTCAACAGCAGTAGTGTAAATTTGTAAGTGCTCTGAGTTAAGTGCTGTTAGGCATGAGATAATGTAAAGAGATGACATTGCCAAGAACTATTTATGAAGAGCTTAATTTTTTTCACTCTGATAATTCTTGACCAATAATTACCAGCTTCTAATTATCTATTTTAGTTAGAAAGAAATCTCTATCACTATGGAGGTTGGCATTGCAACTAGCATATAAATCCCCAAAGAGGTAAATGTGTTCCAAACAGCCACAAACAACTGTCTCATGAAACATA